ATTCGTGGATGACTAATAGTGATGTAAATTCGTGATGACAGTTAAACTAGGCATTGTAAGCTTCATATATACGGTTATTTTGGGGAGGAGACGCATGTGCGCACAATCTTCCACTGACTGGGATTTATTAAGTGAAGTGTGAATTTTTTTTTTCATACACCATTTTTGGCTTCAAAAATATCGATATTCAGCTCCTCTGATATTGATTTACTTGGTAACTTTACAATACGGGTGCACTAATGTGCATTAATTCATCCTTAACTATAATGCACAGATAATCATGAGTTAATGTATAACTAATGAAGAACTAAACCATTAATTGATGATTACTGCATCAAGCAACTAATAAAGAGTCAATATGATCAATAGATTAAGTAATACATAAATTGCTATTAATTCAATGTGTCAATTGTGTATTTATTCCATAATAACATATTTTCTTAATTAATAGTGTAAATTAATGTGTTAATTACCACAATTAGTCAAAGCTATGCACTTCAACTTCCAGTTGTTTGCTTTAATTAATCATTAGCTAATGATTTGCAAAGGTATCATTATGCTATGACTTTACTTGATGAGGCACATCATTATTAACTAGTCATTTAGTAATTGTAGTAATTTGCACATGAATTTGCACTAACAATGAAGTAATTAATCATGTATTAATGCATATAAGTATAATCCTGTCATATTACCTGGAAGTTGAAATACAAGGCTTTGGCTCATTCTGGTAATTAACATATTAATTAACGCTATTAGTTAAAAAATGAGTTATTATGGAATTAATCCACAATTACATATTTAATTAATAACAATTCATGTATGAACTAATATATTAACCTTACAGACTCTTAATTAGTTCAATGTGGTAATCATTAATGAATAGCTTAAATAATCATTAGTTACACATTAATTCAGTATTATTTGGTGCATTAGTTAAGCATGAATTGATGCTTATTAGTGCACACGTATTGTAAAGTGTTACCATTTACTTCTATAAAAAATACACAATTAGTACTTAATTTGCATGAAAGACAGTATCTCCTTTCAGTACTACATAGTGACTGCCTTTGGTATCATTAAAAATAGCATTGTAAATGTTCTGTCTGTGCTGGATATGTTTGTAATTAATGTTCTGCACCTTTCTTGTTGTCTCTTGTTCTTCTCTTCTCTGGCCTGTGCTTTCATCTGCTGCACCTCAATAGTGTCTGGCTTGCGTCGTCTCATGTAAAGATCATGGTTTCCCATGCACAGGGCCAGGATACGCTTGTTAATGCGCAGACGAGGTGCATAGAACACAAAGTCCTGTGGTTGGAGCAGAGGACATGCCATAACATTTCAGACAGGAGTAATACAACAGGAGTAAGACAAATGAAATACTCCACATCTCCAAAATGAGTGAATGAAAGATTAAATGAATGAATAAATTTGGGTTTAAGTTTATTATTCTAAGTTACCGGTGACTTTTTGTCTATGGGCTTAATGACAAATTTCTTGTCATTGAAAGAAATATTCCGTATCTCACTCCAGGGAAATCCAATCTTAGGTGTCAGCCTGTTAAAAAACAGGGATATTGACATGGCACAGTCCATTGAATGTACAACAAAACACTTAGACTAGTAATACAACGGTTAAAAATTAAACATAGACGGTATACTTGTCTGAGCGTTCATATATGTTGAGTCCCAAAGCATCAACACCCAACCACAACTCCGATCCTTTTTTGTTTTTGATGCTGAAATAGTTCACTCCATACATCTCCAGATCCTGAGAAATCTTCAAGTATTCTATCATTGCATCCTCTCTGCAGAGATAAAGCTGTATTGAACATACTCAAACAACTAATTTTAGGTTCAGGACATAGTTTTGAATAGGGTTGGGTATCGAGAATCGAGTATCGATTGGAACCGGGACTAACTTTTTGTTTTTCCCGGAATCGTTCAAAAGTTAAAATTTCAATTCCTAGTTTCGATATTCACAGTCCGCCGAGCGGAAGAAGAAACCGCTGAACAACACCAACGAAGAAGCGTCTACCGGAAGTGTTGGCATAACCGCGCGAGTCGAACATGAGTAGCTTACGTCGGCGGTCCAAAGTGTGGCTTCACTTTTCTAAAAATTAACGAAATCTCGGCAAAATGCTAAATTTGTGACAAGTATTTGTGACAGAAGGAGTATTTCCTTCAGAAAGACCGTTGGTTAGCAAGGTTAGCTAAACTTTTTTGACCCTGCCTCTTAAAAGAATCGAAATCGAGAATCGTTAGGAACCGGAATCGAAACAAGGAATCGAAATCAGAATCGTTCAAATTCAAACGATACCCAACCCTAGTTTTGAAGTTCTTTTTAATTTTATAAATGGGTAATATGGATTGTACCTGATCATGCCCTTGTGTTGTTCATGCCACACCCGAATTCGATCTTCCCACTGCTCTTTAGTCAGTTTATGTTGTTCTAGAACTCTAGAAGAAGGTATTAGCATATAAAGCAGCAAGTTTTTAAAACACAATAAAGTACTATAAAGTGATCTTAGTGTTAAAAGAATAGAACAGAGTTGGTGTTAAGCTCGAAAACGAATAGAGAAACACCTTTGGGGCAGCAATTTGTCTCTGCTCAAATATCCAGGGATGTGATATTCTTTATTGAAGTCACTGTATTTCATCTGCACAGCATATGAGGCCAGTAGAACAGCCGTCTCAGGTGGACAGTAGATATCATCATTCAAGATTCCCTCTTTCACCTGGAGGAAAAACAAGCGCTGTGTAGCTTCCTGAACCAGCTCTTCAGCCACGTCCTCAGGGTAGAACTTTGCTCTAAATTTAATCAGCAATGGGTTTTCTTTTCTGACATCTTGAGCTGTCACCTAACATACAAACACAAATATTTTTGTTAGATGTTTTTCGAAATGTTCTTTAAATGCTTATAGAAAAACAGTTAGCAGTGTTGTAGTACTCGAGACTCGGACTCGTCTCGGACTCGGTCTCGAGACCATATTTTAATGGTCTTGGTCTTGTCATGGACTCGTGTGCATTTGGACTCGGAATTGACTTGTACTCGAACATTTTCTTTTTAGGACTCGGACTTATTCCCGAGTCCACTCGAGTTCAATTAAAAATATTTTTCATGATTATTAATGTATGTTAATAAAATATTTCTTTAAATTGATTGACACGCCCAGTAATTGGTGATTTTCTAGTGCGCAACTGCGCATGACAAATTGTAATAAAATTACTTTTAACACCACCTAATATGTGGCCTTTTTACCCTAAACTGATCACATTTTTTAAAAGTAAATTCAGTATAAAAAAAAGGATTTCTCTAAGTAAATAAAAGTAAATTAGGTAATCAACCCTCACTGGTCTCGGTCTCGACTCGGACTCGACTGTCTCTGGTCTCGGACTCGACTCGGACTCGACTCTCTATGGACTCGGTCTTGACTCGGACTCGAGTGAGGTGGTCTCGACTACAACACTGACAGTTAGTTCCAGTCCTTGGTTTTGATTGCTCAATAGCTGTTTTATTCATGATAAAACACGGCTATGACTGCTTCACCCAACGGTTCTATGTATCTCCACACAACTCTCAACATTTTCCAATATAAAAGTCTTATCTACTGACAGACTCTCTCATAAATGATATTCTCTCTCATATTTGTATTGTGTGGTAACTGTTTTTTGCAGCCCGATCTCATGAAAGTTTGTATCTATGGCACGAATGTAATTTCTCGTGGCATTTATACGCCAAAAACAGTTTTTGCGTGTATATGGCACGCGATTTTCGCGTACATATGATACGCACTTTTTTGCGTATAATACGCACGAACTCCCCACCCCCCTCCCCCCTAAACCTAACCCAGGGTTTTTTAGTGCGTACCATATACACGAAAAAAACACTTTTGCCGTATAAATGCCACGAGAAATGACACTCGTGGTATAGATACGCATCTTCATGAGACTGTGTTGGTTTTTTGAAAGCAATAAGGTACTCGAGGCTAGTGCTGTATCGTGAATAAGTCCCTTCAGCCGTGACTTACGATATAGCACAGCCTCTCTTAACTTATTGCTTACTCAAGTGGTTTAAACTGATGGTCAAATCAGTATCTAAGGAGATTTTTAGGCCAAATCTGCTCACACAGAAAGATTCTGACCGTGCAAGCCAAAGGTGTTCCATAATCAAAGAAATAGAAATACAATTACAGATTCACAGAATAATTAATAATTAAAGGGTAACTATGTAGGGGTGTAACCCCGGCATCCTGGCCAAATTTGCCCAGTAGCCTCTGTCCATCATGGTCTCCTAATCATCCCCATATACACCAATTGGCTTCATCACTGTCTCCTCTCCACCAGTAAGCTGGTGTGTGGTGAGCGTTCTGGCGCACTATGGCTGCCGTCGCATCATCCAGGTGGATGCTGCACATTGGTGGTGGTTGAGGAGATCCCCCCCTTCTATGTGAAGCGCTTTGAGTGTCCAGAAAAGCGCTATATAAATGTAACGAATTATTATTTTTATATTTTTATTATTATAACTAAACCCCTGGTCAGAGTCTGACTCCACCCACTGGCAATATTTGAAAAATGCTGGAAAGGTGGGCAGAGCCCAGCGGAGGGGGGCGTGCACCTGAGACGCATCTCTTTGTATGGAACTTGCCTACGTCACCAACAACCGCTGTGTCACGTACCACCGCAAACATCCAATAGGAAAATTCAACTGCAGTAGCCACCGTTCAACCTGAAGAGGGCAGCACTAAGACGTTTTTACACCATAGAACACTTTATAAACAAATGCCATAAAAGTTGCTCGAATCAGTGACTGGTATTAATAAAGATCTATTCTTACAGATCATTAACTAAAAAAAGTTGGTTTAGTGTTTAGTTACTCTTTAAGAGGTCCTATGCACAGAGAATGTCTAGGTTACTAAGTACCGTCCCCTGATGGAGGGAACGGACCCGTTACGTCGGACTGACAAATTGGGATTATTATTATTAGGGGCCAAGCACCGAAGGTGCGGAGGCACCTATTGTATCTGTGCCGGTTCTTATTATTATTATTATTATTATTATTCTTCTTCCGACTGGGCGTCTATGACAGCCCATAGACCGGTTTGCGGGAAAGTTGTTTTGGTTTGACATTCTGATAGAGGACAGTCCCAACTTTAAATACACCAATTTTGGTGTCTCTAACTCATTCCCTCTAGCGCCACCAACTGTCCAAAGTTGCACTTTTATTATGCTAATAACTTTTGAACCGTAAGGCCTATCAACAAAATTCTTTTTTCCTCTTGTTCCTGAGCTCATGCCGATTCGATCGCACCCTATGACGTCATTTTCCGTCATAAAAACATGGCCGCCATTTTGAATTTTCTAAAAAACGTACTTTTGCGAACTCGTCCTAGACGGTTTGTCCGATTTTCACCAAAATCGCACCGGATCATCTCCAGGCAGTGCTGACAAAAAGTTATGGAATTCAAGATGATTCGCCTAACTGTTTTTGATAAACGCACAAACTAATTTTACGTAACGCTTGCGAAAACAGACGTAAGGCTGTATCTCCGCAACGCTTCATCCTATTCAGACCAAACTTGGTACATGTAATCACAAGCATGACCTGAGGCTACATGCAGCGTTTCGGCGCAGCGCCGCCTAGTGGTCCGGAGATATGAAAAATGGCTATTTTTGCTCGTAACTTCTGAACGGATTGTCCAAAAATCATAAACTTCATCTTGTTAGATTCAGGGCATCATGCCGAGTCGACTGATATCCAATTTTCCCAGATCGGCCATTTTGGCTGTCGGCCATTTTGAATTATGTGCTAAAATGCTGTAGTTTTTGAACGCATGAACGAATTGTTACGAAACTCGGTATGGGTCATCAGTACGATGCCCTGAAGGAGCCTGAGAAGTTTCGAAACAGCGCCACCTAGTGGTGAATTTTTTTCTTCAAACGCTTATAACTTTGGGTGTGGTACACTTATTTTCACGGGAGTCATTTTTTGAGTTCCTGAATCGTTGCCGAGTCCAACGATACTAAACATGCTGGGTTTCGTGTTACGGTTGGTGTAGCGTAGCGATTTAGCGCGAAAAAAACACTTGGCGATATCTTCAAAACCGCTGTTCCGATCGAGACGAAACCACCGCCAGAAACACGGAATCATAGCTTGTTAACTATATGCAAATGCCCAAATGCGAAAATATTGATAGTAAGGGGTAGTAAAATTCAAACAAAGTCATGTGTCAGTCATTTTTTACGTGTTTTTTCATATAAATGTTTATAACTCGGAAGCGAATTGAGATATTTTCACCAAAATCGACACGCATATGTATGGGTTCACTCTGAGGACACACACAAAAAATTGTGGGACTGAGCCTCTTGGTGGCGCTATAATAGAACAAAACGTGAAATTCCCATTGACTTCAATAGAGTTTTGTGAAATAAAATGCTATACTAAACAAATGCTTTGGTCTAACATTACGAAACTCAGTGTGTGCCATAAGCAGCATGCCCTGAAGGTACTCAAAAGATTTTGAGACAGCGCCACCTGTTGGTCAAAAGTTATAATTAATTTCTGAGAACGCTAATTACTTTTGAATAAATTTGCTTATTGCAATGAAACTGATCTTAATAGATTCGTTGGGTTATGCTGAAAACATAGATATCAGGTTTTCCATAATCAGACAAACTTCCTGTTCGCCATCTTTATTTCTTTGAAAAACCTTCTTTTTCGAACTCCTCCTAGACCGTTTGTCCGATTTTCACGAAAATTGAATCGTATCATCTCCAGACCGTGCCGACTAAAAGTTATGAATTGCACGATGATAGACAAAACCGTTTTCGTATACCACAGCATCAAATTTTAGGCATGCTGCCAAAATTACTATTTAGGCTTTATCTCTGCAATGCCTTCACATTTTGACACCAAACTTTGCATGTGTCATTTTCACCTCACTCTGACCACATCACATCTATTTCGTAACTGCGCCACCTATTGTTCGAAAGTGATAACCCATTAAATCATCTTATAAGTTAATGTTTATGTGATTTTCTTAGCCATTTGCCCAAAGTTCTCTCAAAATGCCCTTAATTGCTCCTTGCTGCAGTTGGTCTGCCACTCCTTGCCATTTTGGCATATGTTGCCGCTTCTTGCGCTTGGCCCCGGTAATGGCTGCTTGCAGCTATATTTATTAGGGGCCAAGCACCGAAGGTGCGGAGGCACCTATTGTATCTGTGCCGGTTCTTATTATTATTATTATTATTATTATTCTTCTTCCGACTGGGCGTCTATGACAGCCCATAGACCGGTTTGCGGGAAAGTTGTTTTGGTTTGACATTCTGATAGAGGACAGTCCCAACTTTAAATACACCAATTTTGGTGTCTCTAACTCATTCCCTCTAGCGCCACCAACTGTCCAAAGTTGCACTTTTATTATGCTAATAACTTTTGAACCGTAAGGCCTATCAACAAAATTCTTTTTTCTTCTTGTTCCTGAGCTCATGCCGATTCGATCGCACCCTATGACGTCATTTTCCGTCATAAAAAAATGGCCGCCATTTTGAATTTTCCAAAAAACCTACTTTTGCGAACTCGTCCTAGACGGTTTGTCCGATTTTCACCAAAATCGCACCGGATCATCTCCAGGCAGTGCTGACAAAAAGTTATGGAATTCAAGATGATTCGAAGAACCGTTTTCGATAAACGCGCAAACTAATTTTACGTAGCGCTTGCAAAAACAGACGTGAGGCTGTATCTCCGCAACGCTTCATCCTATTCAGACCAAACTTGGTACATGTCATCACAAGCATGACCTGAGGCTACATGCAGCGTTTCGGCGCAGCGCCACCTAGTGGTCCGGAGATATGAAAAATG